AATGCATCGCTGAAGAAATGAGACATTGAAACGTGATGAAAAGCAACAGTGACAAGGAAAGTTTGGCAACTCGTAAATAGAAAAAGAATAATTTAGAAGATATTAACAATTACAATTAATGACCCTTTACACTGTAAAGCATAATACGTCCTCACAAACAAAGGGTTGCTCTGCGGTTATACATATGACTGCAAACCTTAGGGTCGTCGGTTCAAATCCCGATTCCTAAATTTTTTTTTTTTTTTAATTTAATTATACAAAGGTCGAAATGTTATAAATTTAAAATTGTTATACAATTTGGATAATAAAAATAATTTAGATTTTATAGTGAATGCAACGTATTATTGCAATATTTAAATTAAACAATTCATAATTAGACACTTATTAATTATTTGCTTGATCAACACGTTCCTAAGATGTGCGTGTTAAGTTCAAACGTTCCGGAAATAATCTCTCCAATTAATGAATGCGGAAAATAACTGAACAAAAAGCGAACCATTATCGTGTGCCCGACTGACAATGACTTTGATGCACTTCACTTGCGCAGTCCTTTCTCAGACCGTGCAACGTCTTCTGAATAATTAATCGAAAAAGCATGTAATTACATCGGTAATGGGGCAATTTCGTGATGGCATACCCTAATTAGACGTGAAGGAAGTCGATTCATGGAAAGGAATTACAACCTGCTACCGGGTTCACGCGACTCTCTTTTTTTTCCCTCGTTCAAACAGGCTTTTCAATAGGCTTTTCCAACGGATACGACAATCTCTTCGATTGCAATCTGAATGCACCGAGCAAGTTGTGTTAACTATGTCGGATGCGGGCGTGGAAATGGAAAGTGGAGGAAGAACGCTTGTGTAATTTCTTTCCTGATTACGAGGACTATGCGTTTGCAACGTTTCTTTTCCGGACTACACGTTCTCGAGCATCCAGTATCTATTATTCCAATTGCAAGTGAGGAAAATCACACTAGATTTGAAATGAACTTCATCTTTATACTAAGTAGATGAAAGGTAAAGGTGACTCGTGCACCCTTAACATAAAATACCAAAATGAACTGATAATGTTCGAATTGAGATTTTAATAAAACCTGTCCTAAAAAGCTGAAGAAATTCCTGAATAGAAAGAAATCTCAACTTCTGATCGAAATGCATTCTCCGTGTACCGGTATCCGTATCAAAAACAAAGTCCACAGGTATCGTGGCAAATAGAAAGAGAAAAGATGGTTCGAGGATTTAGGCCTCTCCGCGGCTAGGATCGTCTGGAAGAATCATTGCATTCCAGGGCAAACGATCAGCTCTCACGCGGGCACGCACGCACGGTCCTTAAAGGCCGGATTCGAAGCGCAGCATGCGTGCATTCGCATCGGGGCGGCATTCTTAAATCAATTAGCGACGACCAAAAGAACCAGCCGACCTTCGATCAGCCGACCACTCTCGACTACCGTGTCCCCGTTGCTGCAAAATCCACTCAGCTATTACCGCCGTGGGGCGCGCGTCTCCTATCGTTTCGAACTTTGGAACGCTTTTTACCAGCGAACCGAAACATGCCGCCGTGTATTTCCTTCCTACTAAATGGCTACATCCTTTGTCCTTCTAAGGAAGACCACCAACCGCGAACACTAAGGAACGCGAATCCTCCGATTTATTTGAAACGTCTAGGCCATCTTTTTATTCCTAACATGTCGAACGACACTCGAATCCACCACTTGGTTAACGACTACGTTAAAAGGGTAAAGAAGCGAATAATTCGCAACGAACGGTACGTTTAAAAAAAGATCTCCGTCAACTCAAAATCAAAACCAACGACACGGAACTTGTACACAGAATTCAAAGTCGTATTTTCATTTTATACACCGATACCAGTCATGGTTACCGTAATTCCTGTCGCGCCGTTTCCTCTATCGCTTCCGAAGAAGTTCGTAAATTAGCAAGGATGCGTATTACGCGCGTCGCTTACGATTCAACAAAACGAAACGGAAAATAGGAAACGCCATCGAGCGTAAAATCACCGTTTGCCAGTAAATCGTGCTTAAGTTATAGAACGCCCACCATTGGAACGTTATCATCGCGAAAACGTAGCATGGTGAGTCCGTTACGAATGACATAACGGCAACTATGATCTTGCTGGAGAAAACGAGGCAAAACACGGGTAATACTGCAAAGTGCAGTAATACCAGGAAGGACAACGATATTTCGTTTCTTTACCCCTTTTCCATCGTTGCGGTCGATTCTTAAATCGACGAAATGAACGCAAATCGAGAGCAATCCGTGATCGAACGGTTCTGCTATTAGGAGGAAACTCGCGGACAAAAGTTCGTTTCGTTTCTTAAAGAACAGAAGGAAATACGTTTGTTACGCCGTTCGATATTCTTCTGTACCGTTATCAACACCTCTGTTGACATTATTACCTACAGATGTATGTACACGCGCGTTTGCCGTTCGATGACTAGCCATCTTACCGCGAATCACTATGCGTGACTTGTAAATCGTGCATCGTTAAATTTGCTCGGACACCGTAAAATGGGGCGAATGGAAGCAAGACGTTAAATAAAAATAAATCCTGAGCCAAAAACAAACGCTTTTATATTTTAATGAATTTAAAAGAAAGAAATTTAAAAAGATCCTATTGTTTCGAAGAATAAATCGAAGGAAAACGCAATAATCTCTGTTGCATTCCTCTGGCAGAGGGTCGCAAACACGAGGAACGCGACTAATTATAGCAGAAGAAAAATACCGAACGAACGGTTTCCGTCGTGTTCCATTGGAAACTGCGCAGCATTCGCTAATTGCCTGCGGAGGCAATTCTACCTTTTCGATTCTACCTTTACCAGCCACGGAATGCCGGCTGAAATCAAAAGACCGCCACCCTAGTTTCCCTTAAACTGGTATCATAATTACTCGGATCGCCGATATAAGTGGTGGCGGTTGTAATAACAACGCGAGATAATTTGATGCGCATAAAGCGTATCGGTTTAGTGAACGATACGAGGCCACACACCGCATTCACCGTCGCGGTTAACTATAATTTAAAAGCGTCTCGTTATATTTCTTCTCACGTTTCTCGTTCACCCATCGCACACCGTATCAGGGTGATCCTCGCCACGTCGTACGCACTCACGCATGTAACCATGCGAGGGTGTAGGTATAATTCAGTACCCCTCTCCTCTTCCTCGTCCCGACGATATAACGCGCGAATTACTTGCACGTAATATACGGCGAAACAAAGCCCGTTAACGTCACGAAACAGTAAGCTGCAAGGTATTTTGTTTAGTGTCCCGTAACTTATACTGTCCACGCACGACTTTGTATGGGGCACGGGATAATTGAGTACTCGCATGGAACGACTGCTAATACGGCCGGCCATTTTTACGCGCGCCGAACCTGAACGTAAATCTGTTCGCCCGGAACGATATCTGAAAACGCTCCCCTTGATTTATGACGCCGGATCAACCGAACAAATGCACACATCGAACTGCCAAAGTAAATGTAACGCGAATAATTTGAAATGTTTAGGTTGAATCGGAATGAGCCTTGGTAAACAGTAGAGATTAGATTATGTGTAAGCGGATTATCCGGAACACCCGGCCGCGCTGTTAATGTTTAGATGATGAAGGTGAAAGAAAATGTATGTATATCGAATAGGGGCCACTTTTGAAGAACTTTTCTTAATAACACGACCGTCGGTTGGTGATACATTTTTCAAAAAATCTGAATTTTCTCCGCATAAATTATTGCTATGTTAATTATATACGAATATACTGAATAATCTGATTTTACTATAATACCAAAAGTTTTCTTTAAGGAAAAAAGGACCCTCCATTTACGTATAAACAGTTTCTTGGGGTATTTTTATTTCACGTTTGTCGATTAATTGTAAATTATTCTTAATTTTATCTAAAATTTCAGGAAATTTTCCTCTGAAAAATTAAAGTTTCACAGCGAGTTCGTTTTAATTCTATCATCCTTATGTTTGTACGTAATTGATCTACTCCTACAATAATCTCCACCATAAATACTTAAAATTGCACGCTCGTAATTTACGCTACATCACTGGACATGATCGCCACCATTCATTAGCATAATCTTCATCAACCTTGAATGAAGCTTTTATCACGCATGTAAATATGCTAATTTCCCTTATTTCACGCTGTATTTAGATAAAGAAAAGAAAGTGAAAATATCGAAAATGAACGTTTCAAGTAAATAAAATAATTTTGTTTATGCACAGTAAAAAATTACTGAATAAGAAATATCGGATCCTGTAGCTCATGTCATTTTTCCTTTTTCTTAATTTTATAAATATTTTCTGTTGGTTTTGTGTTTCTTTCACGTTCGGGATATTCTGCTCGCTAATTTACAGCTACTTTGACTTGATAATTTAATGTGAAACATGCATCGCAGCTTCGGATTATTTCTTCATTTTATTGAGACCAATTTAGCTTACTATTTTATTACCGACATTATTCAGCTACAGGCTATATCATCCATTATTCATAATCAAGCCTGATGCACGATATATTCATCAAACTTTTACGAAGAGAAAAATTTTAACACTGAAGCTTCAAATACGTTTCTTTTACATGATAAATTGAAAAACAGTTATCATATAAATATTTGTACGATGAAGATTGAAAAATTTAAGTATTGGAATCAATCTTCTGCATAAAATTGAAATTGATTTACAAGCGCTCGAATGAAAAATTTAACGATAATGAAGCTTAAATGTCTCTTTCCTTATCGATAAATTATATTAGCACATTACAAACAACCCGATGAATGCCTGTCTCCTATTTGAATATAATTATCCTCGAAGCAATTGAGAAGCGAAATTTGCATTCAATTGTAGAAAGTATTATTGCCACACGCCTATTGCATTTATGAAGACCTCCCTATTAAACATTACCATAGGAAGCGTACTCTAAGCACAAACGCATATAAATCAAATTATTATTAGACTATTATTCAAAACTATATTTTCTATTTCTTTCTCGATTTCAGGATGGTTTTCTGTGATATCTGGCAACAATACAACGGGTAACGCGAGGGTTTACAGAAGAGTAGACTCTCTGGTGCGAGCAGGAGTACCTGCCTTCCTTTTGGCTGCGCCTTTGCGAGCGTACATTTTGACTCACTCGAAAATGGGTAAGTAGAAATAGCCTTGAATTTATTCTTACATCGCATAAACGAGTCAGCGAAAAATTACGTACGCGTAAAGGCATGAAAAAATACAAACGTGGAAGGGAACATAAACTAAAGAATGAGAGCAAAAAAGAAGGAAACTAATAGCTTACGTGAACGTAGTATCGTTTGTAACGTCAAACCACGATGTTCTTGACCTAAATGCATATAAATATCAGCTTGCATAGATTGGCTTAGAAAATAAAAAACAAAATATAAAGAATCTGCAAATTGCACGTTTCGAGCGGTAGCAGAATGTTAAATGCAGTAAATGGAGTGCATAGCAACGGAAATGCACTGAGCAGTGACATAAGAGGCATGCAACGATGATACTAACACTTTGATAGCCTCACATTTCGTGGATTCTTTAACTGCTGTGATTTTAAATTCCTTTTTATACCTGACAAGAGATTACTAATGAAATTGAATCAACGGTTTCATTTTACGTGTACCGTAAATTGACTAATTTTTTCAAATCGCAATTGGCATCTAAAACCGGGATTCCTATTTTCTAATTGAAAATTTGTTACGTGTTTACAGAAAACGGTAATTTACGAGCTCATTACACGAAGACGACTATCAGAGCGGGGGAAATTTTACGATTAATAGCGGTTTTCCAAGACACTAGAAAATGCAACACGGTCTCCTTCGGAATATCCGGTAGCTCTTCCGAAAAGGATCAGTACGCACAATGCTTGGATCCGTATGGTCGCGAAGTGTTCGCCCCTTTGTCGGCGAGAGGCGAATTTTACGCTATTTGTCAGAACGGAAGCATCGACACCGGAAGCGATGCGATGCTGTATAAGGTACATCACCTTGCAAAGAGACCGTTACCTCTCAGGGTAAGATTCGATTATATTATCTACCCTTTCTTTTCTTTATCCATACAGCGTACCAATTTGTTAAAAAATTATATTAAAAATTGTACCATATTACCACTTACCTTTTCAATCGCTTTAAGAAAAGGTTATGTACAGTTAATATTAAATTTAATCATGCATGTTGTAAAATCAGGGTGCTCGGCTAAGGGTGGACCTCCTTGCAGAGGATGGTAGCTGGGGTGATTTTGAACAACTTCTACTTTTACCGAAATGCTCGTTAAGGCTTAATTTTTAAATTATTAATGAAAAGAGACCGATTAATTAGAGCGCGCAAAACGTGTGGAGTTAGCCACACAACTGACGTATACGAAGTACACTCGACCGAGGTCAGGAACAAACTACCCGGCTGCGCATCGCGCTCAGCTTATAGCCTACACTCAGTCGCCGCGCCGGCGCACTGTGCGCGTTCAGCTTATAGCCAACACTCAGTGGCCGCGCCTGCGCACTGTGCTCGCTCTGATTGCGCAGTTTTTCATTAATAATTCAAAAACTAAGGCTTAATGAGCATTTTGGTAAAGGAAAAAGTTGTTCAGAATCATCCCAGCTATCACCCCCTCAAAGAGTGCCCACCCTTAATCAAATACCCTCTATAAAACAAATACTTTATTCTTGGACAATGTATAAATTGCAAAATCTTACTAATAAAATCAATCAAAATTTGTTCAAGCAAACTTTTAAAAGATATACTGATAAAAACTTATGTATGTCTTTAAAAAAAAATCCTGTCTTTAAATAATTTTTCACAAATATGCAAAGTTTTGTCAAAAATGATAATTCGTGAATTCTAATATCACTGATTCAATTAAGACTTAAAAATATAGATATAATAACAAAAACTAGAATTTAATATTTTTCTTCTTAAATTAATTATTATCAGTTGAAATTAAAACTTAATAGAATTGAAAAGTTCCATGCAACATCTGACCTGAGTTTAACTATTGGACTGAATATAATAATTTCTAATGAAAACAAAAAATAATTCTTATTGTGACTCACCCCCACTGCTACCAGCTCTATCTGAAGGGCTTCCTCTTTTGCAGGTTCGTTTAATAGCCGGTCCATTGCCTGTACCTTTGCCAAGGGAATATGGTGGTTTGATGCAACTGGAAAGCTCGACTCGAGGTCCAATTGTTTTAGGTTGTATCGTGCCAGAAAGACCGGTGCACAATCCAGAAATGCTTGAACTCGTGGTGACCGGAAGCGGTGCTCCTAGAGTAAGAAGAGCGCGATTAGGTTATCCTTCAGAAGCTAGACTTTTAGCATCGCCGAAGATGCAACGATTATTGTCAGCGTGCAGGTAAATACTTACCATAATTCAGTAACTTAGTATTGTAGCACTTAAGTAGCGTCGTTTTCTTAGTTTGATTCACTTCTGTAATTCTTCTATGTGAATTTCTTTATCACGTTCACTGTTTGGTTGCTACTGCGTGCTACTGCCATGACGCCGTTTGTCGCGAGCGATAATCGATAATTCGATTGTAACGTCACCTGAAAAAAAATCGATGTTAGAACTCGAGAATGGCTGCTTCCCCTATATCGCTATTCCCACTCGGGAAGCCTATTTTGCTCAATATTATAATAATATAATAACATAATTGATTATGTATAATTCGATTGAATTCTAATATTATTACTTGATACTTCAGTCATAAACGTTAATAACAGACTTCAAAAGGTTATTCATTCGAATCGATCGACGAATCAACTGAAGAAACGTATTAGCGTTAATAGAACAGAAACACTTACATTATGTACGGCCATTGATAGAACATGATGTACCATAGCATATTCTGTATAATCGCACTAGTTTTCTGTTTTAATTCACAATTAAAATGCTTGTAATAAACGACTACATTTATCACGCTTACTCTTTGAATCCTAACTGTCATGGCGCACGCGTAGTTGGCGTTGTATTAGTGACGAATAATCGATACTCCGAGGGTAACATCACGTGGTCAAAAATCGATGATAACAATCGATATTAAATTTCCATACTTTTCATTATAGTTTCATTATAATTTGATTGAATTTCAATATTATAACTCGATAAACATTAATAGGAGAATTGAAAAAATTAATTATTCAAATCGATCGATAAAACGAAGAAACATCCGCGCGCTAACAGAGTATAAATACATAATATACGGTCACTGATAGAACGTAATATACCGTATCGTGTCCCGTATTATCGCGATATTCGAAGGATGCAAAACATTTGTAAATATATGTACGTATATATTCTATGTTGCTTAACCTGTTCTTCCACTTCAGCCGAGCTGTCGGAGATCGAGCAACGGAACCAAGAGTGGCACCTCTAAAACTGCATCCAACGAGCGAAAATCTCAAGGAGATGCATTTGAAGAAGATCAAACCGAAGCCGGATACAAAACCGATTTTACAAAGCTTAAAGGACGGATTAGAGCAATTAAAGAAGAGCACCGTTAGAGAGAAAAGTCAAACAAGACAGAACAATAAAAACGGGCTGTTGGATCGAATTTCGAAGTTCGCCCAAGGTGGTCGTAGCAGAAATCCCGCTAAAAAGTCGGCTTCGTTCACGTTCGCGGTGAAACCGGAAATCGCGATGAGATGCCAAGAGCGTTATTCCAGTTTGGAGCCAGAAACTACCTCTCATCCCAGTCATTCGAGCTCGTCCAAGCAACCTGTACAAAGATCGGCCTCCACTAGCGTTTTAGAAATGCCGGCTAACGTCGAGTTACAGCCCAATTATTCTCGGGTTAGAGATAGTCTTACGCCAGTGCCATCCCTTCCTAAGTTAACCAAGACCAAAGCTGATGACATTTACACTGAGATTTGCGAGAACGCCGCTGTACAGGTTCAAAAGTGTCCCGGAAGTCACGTGATGGCCAGGATCAAAATAATTGTGAAAGGACGTGATTCACCTCCCGCTCTGTCGAGCAGGATTAGTAACGAGAGATACGTGAATTCATTGGTAACGAACGAGCAAATCGATTCGATTATCAGCACGGAAGACGAAGTTATATATAACACAATATTTTAAGCAATGAAACTTTTTATCATGATAAGTTAACCGGCTGTGTTTGATAATCGAGAAACCGTTGATTATTTTTATCGACGTACAGTTGTATCAATTGAATCTGTATATTATATATAAAAAAAAAAAAAACATTATTATGAAGTAACGTGTATTATGATAGAATTCGTAATAAATTGCATGTACATATTCCTGCCATACGTACTAACAATTGTAACAAGACCTAATAGTTGTTAAGAATAAAAAGGCTCAACTTGAAAAAGAAAAGGAACCGATGTAACGTTTGCAAACGAAATTTCAACGATTCTGAAAATTTTATTTTATTATGCAGGAAATAAATTTGTGTAAAAATATTCGTGTATATTATCCTTTCTTTTTCTTTAATTTTTTAGTCATTTTTTGTTTAAAGGAAACCTTTTTGTTTACATGTTTCTTATTTCTTTCCTTTTTTTCTTTGGGTATCGTTTCTATAACTTTCTTCATTATGTCAACAGCTTTTTGATTATTTTCACTTAATTTAAGGTCCATGTTAATATCAGGATATTTTCCGGAAAAACCTTTTGGAAACAATGGTTTTGACATTAATGATGCTAACTGATACTTCTTTATTTTTAATTGATGCTTTAAATCTGCTGTTTCTTTTATGTCTAACGCTATATCCCTGAAAAATACAATTATTTATACCACCGAAAATGTACATAATTAGTGATAAACATAGGTATATTAAATCTTACTCTTCATCCTCCTCTAAAACCAAATCCATATCTTCAACAGCTTTACGTAACCAACCCTTTTGGGAATTATCTCTACGACATTTTAATTCCAATTTATCAATTTCCCGTGCAATATCAACTCTTTCTTTAACTGCAATTAACAACCTATCGACTACAGGAAATGTAGGTAAATCCTGGGCTGAAATAAAAATACCTGTATTAATATTCAATTCTAAATTAGTAGATAATATTACAGTTACATTTGTTCACTTACTACGACCAAGCGTTTTACATAATTTACTATAGTACTGCTTTTCAGAAGGTTCCATCATAAGAACCGTTATACCTTCCTTTAGCGCTCTTGCCGTTCTTCCGCTTCTATGCACGTAACTCTAAAAATTAATTAAAGATACAAAATTACTAAAGGTATTTTCTTTTTTTAAAGCACTGCACATTTATTTACACATACTTCACTTGTTCTGGGAACTTGATAGTGTATTACATGCTCTACATTTGGAATATCTAAGCCCCTAGCAGCTACATCCGTAGCTATTAACACTCCATTTTCATTTGCCTGAAATCTACCATTTTTTTTATTGATTTGAAAATTTTACGTACGTTAATATGTTTTTACCTTTCCAGATTTTTTAACCGCTGTCTTTGTTGCATACTAGCATGCAAGGGTAAAGGTTTGCAATCGAGTATTCCAAAAAGTGTAGCTAAACGTTTTACACAGCCGATACTATTACAGAATACCAGTGTCCTGCCAGCATGTCTCTTTAGAAAATAGTAGAGGTAATAATCTTTGTGATCTATTGTACATGCTATTCTGCATTCCGTCAAATTACTTGCGGTACCTAAAAACACATCATTATTTTTTAAATTGTTATGTTAATTACATTATTTGCATTTATTTAATGTAAAAATACCTGATTCTTTTGTAACATCAACAATTTTCGGATTCCTTATTCCTACCAGTTCTATAATTTTTTGCAATTTTTGACCAGGTGTTAGCTTATGTATTTTACTGCTAGTACGCTTCTTTTTCTTCCTCTGTAAATACTCCGGGATATCATGCACCATAGTTAGCGTAGCAGAAAACACAAACGTTTGTCGTTCTTCCCGTTTTTTCTTATCAATATTTATCTTTTCTAACAATTGCTGTAATTCTTGAAAATGTCCTTTTTCTAACATCCTATCTGTCTCATCAATGGCTAAGTATCTATTTAAAATAAAATTTAATTTCTATAACATCCTACATGCACATCGTATTTGAAAGAATTTATTGCATTATACGACAAATTTTGGGAATATACGATTCGAGATTAAATGAAATAAACACATAAGATTATTCAAGCGTTCGATCAAAATTTCGCTGTAATTAAGTTTCTTTAATTAAAAATGTTAACACATAATTAAGCTGCTTGAAAGCACTTACTTAATAGAATCCACCTGGCTAAGATGTGGATTACCTTCCTGTATCAATTCCCATAATCTACCAGGTGTAGCAATTACAATTTCAGGACCTTTACTTAATATTCTTTCTTGTTTAACCACAGCCAGCCCACCTAATAGTACAGCTATCTAAATAATATCAATATTTGGTAACTAAAATGTCTTAAACTTCCTGTAGTTATTTATTTTATTAAAATGCTTACTTTAATATCAGTATACTTGGCTGCTTTAGTGAGGTGGTCTTTTATCTGTATAGCTAATTCGCGAGTTGGTGTTAATATTAATGCAAACAATGGTTTTTTAGGATAATTTCCTACTTCATTCACTTTTATATTGTCAATTACACGTACACAACCTATACCATTTTCATTAACATCATCAATGTCTTCTTCATGATCAGATTCAGATGAACTATTGTCGCTTTCTGTTTTATTTTCTGTACAAAACCATCCTTTGTTTTCAATATCAATACTTGTTTCTTTCATAGATCTTATATTTGATTCACCTGCTTGGCTATTTTTTAATTCTAAAATACCAGCTATGATTGGAATTCCAAAAGCTAATGTTTTTCCACTACCTGTTTCAGCAGCACCTAGTACATCTCTGTGTCCTAGTATTGCTGATGGTAAAGTTAATGCTTGTATGGGAGTGGGTGAATAAAATTGTTGATCTCTTAATGCTTTTATTATAGGAGTAGGTACACCTAGTACACTCCATTGTTGATTATAAATGTCATACCCATTATCATCATTATCATTATTATCATCATCAGAAAATTGCTTTTCTGGACTAGAACTATGATCTGTATCTCTTTGGGCAAACAAAGTGCTAGTTACTTTTTTAGCATTTTTTCCTTTAAACTTACTTTCTTTAGCTTTTGTGATTTTTGCTTTCTTTAATGTTGGCTCAGTAGTGTCTATGTTGTCTTCTTGCCATTTGTTTAAATTTTTATGCTTCAAGGACCCCTATAAAATATATACAGATTCCTTGTATCCAAGTTTCCATAATAAACCTTATTGTTATAGGTATTATCATACAAAGGCAAGTTTTGTTCCTACCTTGATTTTTTCATTGTTATCTTCTTTATTATGAGTTACAATTTTTGTTTTATTATTCTGTTTTTCCAATTCATAATCAGTTAATTCTTCTATACCAATTAAACCATCAATGCCTCCAGAAAATACAGAACCTTCTAATTTTAAAGGTTTCCAATCACTTACAGAATTATGCTTTCGTTTAGTCATAGTTTTTCTGTAATTCTACTGGGTAAAATAAACAATGATCAGTGAAAATTAGCATTTATTTATTAGCAGCCTAATAGTAACCTTTCAAAAACAGAAACACGTGGATCTGTAAATACATGCAGTGACTACAGATTCAACAAGAGTGGACATGTCTCTGTTTTCAAGGGGCTTGCTATCAACAGTTATAAGTCAGATGGAGCCAAACTTGCTCTGGACTTCCCCTTTTCCATGTTCATTCCCATAGACAAAATATAAAATAGACTTATGATAAATCCTGCCGCAAATAGCGCTATAATATAATGCCAATTGCTAATTGTCATGATATTGTCATTGTCATATTATTTAAATGAAAGTAATAAACAATTCATGAATTTCTTGAAATTACAAAAACATTGTAGAACTAACAATGAAATTGCAATGAAAATATATGTCAATAATACAGTATCCTACAACAAAATGGGGAATAATAACTCTCCGAACTCCGCATCGGTAAAACAGCTCATGTTTGATCAAAAATTAGGGGTTACTATCCGTAGTTACTGCTTGTACATACACGATCCCCTGGATGCTTATTTCGCTCTATCAGACCCAAAGAATGACGCTCTGGTCTCTATTTGGACATACGATTCGCAAAAATGTTTATATTACGAATAAATTAACGCAGGTGAGTCCGATCCGCCATTTTCTTGACCGTGGACAGACACCAATTTCAATATTTTATAACTTTTGGACGATTTAGGTAAAATATGGACCAGAGTACCATTCTTTAGGGCCTCCTAAACACGTCCCTCAAATTTCTTTGCAATCTGTTCAGCAGAAACGAATAAAGGTGTGATCTCGTTTCTAGGGATTATTCTAGAGGCTGTCGGTAAAGTTTTCAACGCTAGCATCACCTTAAATACACAATGGTGTACTGTTTTTTATTATGGTTTTTGTACATATTTCAGTTGTCTAAGATCAGATTTTTTTCTAATATAGTATAACACAACACCTTTTAATCTAATGTAACTTTGCTTATGTTTGATTTAATGTGAACATTCTATAATTAGAGTGTTTGATTTTTATAATGTTCACATTGTTGGGTGAAGTAAACTTATGGACATTTGATGACAATATTAATATAAAGAATACAGATTTTGGGGCATTTCGGTGAGACAAATTGAATTATATGTATCATAAATTATATTTACAATGTAATATGTTAATAAAATTAAGTTATACCTAATAATTTTGCATAAAACATTACAATAACTTAAGTAATAGATGACTTTCTTTTCGATACAACCAAATGGTAAATTTCATATTATTATAGTTACCATGATAAACGTATTGATAGCTTTTATGAAGAAGGAAAAAGATCCTATTGTCAAAAACGTGGTATGATATATGTACCAACAAATAAAAAAGGAAACAAGTTAAAAGATTCTATTAAATATTTAGAGGTAAAAGTCTGATAAGCTAACTCACAAGAATCATAAAACATTGATAATATCTATTATAAACTAATATTATAGGAACAATTGAAAGACAATTCAATTATATATTGTCAATGGTATGATGACTGTGTGTTACAATTAATGTTGACTAATGCCTTAATAATACAAATACAAGTTAACATTGCTACTGGTGATATATACAAAATAACTTTTGACAAATATCTGATAGGAAAACTTTTAGAGCACATATCAGATGGTAATTATTTTATCGTGTATGATTTATTTTTATATGCTAAACAGGTTTTAATATATAATTCTTTATATTTTTAGTGATAATCACTAAAAATTATATATTTTGCACCTATAATGATAACCAAGTCACTCATATACATTTCACAAGATCAAAACGACATATTTTTGACAAAATTAATAAACTTGAACCAAAATTATCTACAATTGATTTGTTTGGACCTAATGGTCGGAGGTTGGACAAAAAAATACAGACCAATAAATGTGGTGATCTGGTAAACATATTTATCTTAAAAATTCTTATAGTAAGTTTCTCATACTATGTAGTTTATGTAATATTACAGATATTAATTTGGTGGAAATCCACTATTAATGAAGTTTATCCTTGGAGTCCAGCTGTAAAAGAACATGACCGTGCAAATATACATCTTTACCATCTAATAGGGTATATAAAATTTCTTTTCAATTTTTTAAACTAATACTATGATTTTGTTAATCCTGATTTAGATGTATCCTTATTTTCAGAGCAAAATTAGAATTAATTTGTTATATACGTAGTGAATTTGATCCATTGTGCATAATGTTTGATACTAGTAATGATAATATTATTCATTCTGTAGAACAAAAAGTATCAAGGAAGGTAATAGTTGTGTGTAATTTATTATTTGATTCAATCCTGTAACATTACTTTTACAATTGAATACTTCTTCACATCATAAGTATGATATAGGGGGAGGTGACTGTAGAATGGCGTACATATGAAATTTCCCAGCAAGATAAACTTCAAAGGATAGCAATGGTCTCTGTGCCTTTACCCACGCATACAAGTTGTGTAAAATTTTCACCTACTCAGGAACTGTTGTTATTATGTTGCATAGATGGTTCTGTTATGATTTATGATCAAACTAGAGCTACTACTACCAATGTAAAGGCAGCTTTTGTAAGTTATATAAAATATGTATATATATTCCTAGTTGCACATATGAAACTAAAACAAGTCCAATTACTTTTTTAAATGTATAAAATATTAATAATTCTTAAGATACCAACATTAGCATCATGGCACAGTGATGGAGTAATATTTGTTGTTGGAAATGACAAAGGTCAATTTCAACATTTCGATATTTCTTTGTCTTGTATTAAAATCCAGACATTAAGCGAAGAAGCAACACAAACTGCCATTCTTGACTTATCATCATATTTTAGGTATTATTTTGTGTTAATTTATTCATTAACCCCTTGTAATCACAGTGGTCAAGCATAATCTAGAATATATTTACAAAGGGTTAATATGTTAATAATAAGTTAATTGATATGTACATATTATCAATATTCACTTATAATACAGAATTCAGCCAGCATTACTACGTATGGAATGGAATAAAAAAAATGATTTGAATAGTTATGTCGATTTACATAATCGAGGAAATTCTCTATTATTATTAATTTTTCAACGGTATATTATAATTTTTATTTTATGAAGTAAATAAAATATAAGAAGATAATCACATTAATATAAAATTATTAATAGAGGTCCTATAGGTGTCATAAAAATGTTGGAAGGAAATTCGTTTACCGGCGATGTACTGGTCAAGAGATATTTATCTTTATCTCAAGTTGAACAAGCAACTTCTTTATTATTGGCTATGAATTGGGATACACATCCGCGCGTGTGCATGCACGCACTAAATCAAATTTTGAATTACTTATTTAAGTTACCTTTGACGACGGAACATGAAAGTAAGATTCAGTATTATATTCCAATTGATTGTTATGCTTTTAGTAAAAATAATTTAATTTTCTCTAGATCTTATACAGAATGCATTGGGTAGTTTTCACGTGCCAATTAAACCAATAAGTCAAGTTATTGAAGAAGAATATGGAGATGAAATAAGAGATTTAACAAGACGATTTTTCCATCATTTATTAAGGTATTACATACCTTACTGTTTAGAAATAATCATATCACGTATAAAGTTTATCTTTAATATTATAGGTATCACATGTTTGAAAAAGCCTTTAGACTTGCTATAGATTTAAATGATCATGACCTTTTTATGGATATACATTTTTATGCATTAGTTGTAAATGATACAGTAATGGCCACCGCAGCTAAAGAAAATGCTGAACGCATACTAAGTAGATCAAACAGTTGCAGTAGTTCACGTAAGAACGCATATCGAAATCTACAATTCAATCTGTTTTGCATAAAATGTTATAAGGAAAAATTTCCAGATTCCACATGCTCTAGAGCATCATGTTCATTGTGCTCTGATTCATCAAGTGATAAAGGAGAGTCTTGTAGCGATGAAAGTGAAAATTCCTCTAAGGAGAATCAGACTGAAACAAAACACTCTAAACATCATAATTATAAGAAAGAATCCATCAGTCAAATTCCACCTTTACCAGTTCTCCATCCTCATTCCCCTAATAAAAATTTATTGCCTACATCATTCACTGATGCTTCGCCTGGCGAAAAAAATAATTGTACCATGGAATCAACATCTTTCAGTATACCCAATAATACTCTTACCACAACTTCCTTTAACCATTCACAACATTTTTCACTTTCAAATACATTTTTTACAACAACATCATTCAATAAATCGCTATATAAAACTCATACACAACAAACACCAACAACCACAATACTCTCTAACAGTAGTTCACAGTGTTTTAATAATATCTCTGATGACCTAATGACAACTTCGTTTGGAAGTCTATCTTTACACGAACGGAAAACATCATCTAATCGACTTACTGAAAATTCCATAGACACTAAACAATTAAATAATGTTCTTCTTGATGAAATGCAATATCCTCTTGATAATGCATGTACCGATACAATAACACAAAATTTAGTAGGGGAAAACAGTTTTATGTCAACTCCTTTCAACAATCCAACATATGAACCAGTTACACCAAATGTTTCTTCCGATTTATTAAGGTCCTCATTAGATAATATAGATAATAATATTATGTCTACATCTTTTGGTGCAGACATTTCAAATCAATATAATAATTCATTTAGTAATTTAATAAACAGCAAATCTGATTCAACTGTTTCTTTGTCTCCTTTAAAAAGTACAAAAACATCTGTTACAGTGAATGACTTTACATCAAAAACACATACTGATTCCATTGCAACAAACAAATTAACATCTAATTTTCAAAATAATCACAGTAATCTTGTATCAACTTCATTTAATTTTCAAAATAATCAAGTACAAGATTCTTGTAATAGTAGTGCAATAAGCTTTAGCAATGAAGAAAATCATGGCATTATCAAATTACAACAACCTTTCATGGAAAAGAAACAGGTGGACTTTAATATCCCACCACTACCATCTTCTCTAACAAATTCATTTACAAATTACTTTCAAAATCTTCCAAGAAAAAATCTTCCTCTATCTAGAAGTACATCTGGATTAGCAGATATTGATGAATCTGTCCAAAAGTTTACATCTACTAGGTCAAGAAATGTTGCATCACATTTGTTACAAAAACAAAATTCCACATCTAATATTTTACAGGATCAACACAAATACAGTAATGTTAAACCTTCCAGATACAGACTTAATTATGATTTTGATTATATTTCATTTCATGGAAGTTGTGATAATATTGATGTACATTCCTCAACTAATAACATAGAACTAGGTAGTTCACAATTCTCTTCTATGTACAGTGTACAAAACAGGTTTGATAAACATTCAAAATTAGTGTCATCACCAAATAGTACAAACAGTAGTATTAATAAACATTTTAAAGTATCTTCTAATGTACCACCGCTTCCCATTATATCTACTTCTACTCCTATACCTTGTTCCCCTTTTTCTACCACCACAGATACAACACCCACAACAAATGAAAAACCAAAGGTTAAATTTTCAGATACAGTAACGCATATATTGGTACCTGGCACGGTAAGTATAATTGTGTACAAAGTGTATTAAAGTGCACAATTAGTAGGAAATAATATATCAATTTATTAATTACTTCTTGCAGGGTCAATCACATAAGCAAAAACGTTCTACAATCACTCAAGTGCATTTAACTGATCCAAAACGCGAATTATCAGAAAGTCTTCCATTGTGTTTTGAAGATTATCTTAAGGATTTTCAATCAAGTAAGTAATAATATTTAATGGTTTAACAGACCTTTCATTAATATAAAATATTATTTATTATAGAAGATGACACAAATGACAAAGTAAAAGAATCTTTAAGATCAGAAGAGGGGTCTAAAATAAAAGTTGTACATTTTGGACTTTTATAAATAAAGGTTCTAGATTTTAATAGAGAAAGTATATAAAATTGTATTTACATATATTTAAATTTTTTATAATGACATGTATACACCTATGCTGTACGTAATTTTGATACAATAAAATTTTTATTAATTACATTGTCTATTATTATTAATTGCAGTATCTGTTATCGCTTATTAAAAATCTGTTCACTTTTACATAAATAACTACTTGGACATTCTTATATTTTTTATGTAACAAAAATTATTTGTAAATTGAATTGTTAAATAAATTATTTATTACTGTATCTGTTCTAACTATTAAATTCTTTCTATTCTATATACACTTAAATTTTATTTTCCTCTATTTACAAGTATCTCATTTAATTCAGATTTCAATTCAAGTAATTCTTTATCTGGTATAAAACGTTTCTTGTCTAATAAAGGATCATATTTATCAATACACATAGAAACTCCTTCAGGTAAAGTTACTTCTAATAGTCTAATAAAAATAGGACATTTTGTGGCTGTAATATCTGAAACTTGTATATCCCTTTCATAAATTTTTACAGTATACTCACTATCAACTACTGTACCTCCTTTTTTAAATCTTTTTATCTTAAATTCTCTATGAGGATAGGGAAACCTATAAAAATATAAATATACATGGTATTACAGCACACAATATTACATTTAAGACAAAAAATTAAGCATTACGTGTTTTCAACAGTGATGTCCAAAGCATCTGCAAGTTTTTGAACAAAACTTTGATATTTCTCAATTAAAGGATACGTGTATCCTCTAAGCTGTATGTTTAAAGTAGGATAAATTGGTATCTCGTACTCTTTCTGTAATAATATTTAAACTAAGTAAATATTATACTATACAGTATATTATTTAACAATAATTAATATAATAACCTTTAAATACGGAGGTTCATATATACCATAAAATCTCACTGCTTTGTTAAGTAATGGGTAACGATAACACGTTACAGCCTAGACACACAGTTTAGACATATTATTTTATCTTAACATTGTAAATAAATATAAATTTTTTTGTTTAAAAGAAAGAACAACATAACCGTATTGTTAAAAAGAAGTACGTATTTACCCGCCTAAAGACATTCAGTACCATTTTGTATTAAATAAATTTGATATTGGAAATCAGCATTCAATTTTCCAATAAAAAGAATTGTAATTATTATTGTTTATAGACATACACAGTACGCTAGCCTTATTGCTGGAAAAAGGCGATATAACGAAAGGAGACCCCTACTACTTGCTATTATACCCGAGAAATACAACGCATTATGTCCAGTTCATAAAAGATATTTTAGTATACAAAAAGCAACAAGCAATTACATACATGTTCGTATAACAAAGGGAGTTCGTTTATTTAATAATAAAAGGGGTCCTCGGCCGAGGCCCAGATGAGGGATACAATCATAAATGTTATTCTCCTTCGATGAGCTTAATTAATAAACAAAGAAAATAAATAAAGTAAATTAAATAAACTCCGTAAAGAAATTAAAGGACGATTATTACACTGGTTGTGCCCTTTTCATATGCACCTGATTTCATCCAGGGGTGTCAGGGACCCCGGTGACTCACTGCGCGCCAACAAAATATTGTCCTGGGGTGTCAGGAACCCCGGCGACTCTGCGCGCCGGCAAAATATTGTCCTGGGGTGTCAGGAACCCCAGTGACTCTGCGCGCCGACAAAATATTGTCAGGGGTGTTAGGAACCCCGGCGACACTGCGCGCCGACAAATATTGTCCGGGGGTGTCAGGAACCCCGGTGACTCTGCGCGCCGACAAACTATTGTCCTGGGGTGTCAGGAACCCCGGTGACTCTGCGCGCCGACAAACTATTGTCCTGGGGTGTCAGCGACCCCGGTGACTCCCTCGGCGCACCGTCAAAATATTGTCCTGGGGTTTCAGGGACCCCGGTGACTCTCTCGGCGCACCGACAAAATATTGTCCTGGGGTGTCAGGGACCCCGGCAACACTGCGCGCTGACAAAATATTGTCCTGGGGTTTCAGGGACCCCGGTGACTCTGCGCGCCGACCAACTATTGTCCTGGGGTGTCAGGGACCCCGGTGACTCTCTCGGCGCACCGGCAAAATATTGTCCTGGGGTGTCAGGGACCCCGGTGACTCTCTCGGCGCACCGACAAAATATTGTCCTGGGGTTTCAGGGACCCCGGTGACTCTATCGGCGCACCGACAAAACATTGTCTTGGGGTTTCAGGGACCCCGGTGACTCTCTCGGCGCGCCGACAAATAGAATTATGATAAATATTGATAAATAGAATTAAAATTCAATTACTTGTTCAATTACATAATTATATAAGAAGCATATAAGAACTAATTATACAAACTTATTAAGAAACAATAATTTTTATTCTTAATAAAATTTATTTTTCATGAATTACATATATTATAATGTAATTTTCTCTACACAATAATTAAAATATAAAAAAATCTTTCAGTCTGAAAGATGATTTACTGTTACTTAGAAATATTAAACATGGAAAACATTTGTACGTTTAACACCTTTACATAATTCTCTGCTATATGTATATTTCTTATTTGATGTGTAAATAAAAAGAAAAAACAGCATGTATGAATTTGAAAAGAAAAAATGTATTGTTAATTTTAGAAGATTATGCAGTCATGTAATTGTTGCATGCACTGCAATATTGAAATGGAATAATTTCGTATTTATAAGTACTTGTTTTTGTACTTAACTAAAGTATAATTTGAAAAGCAATCTGTTGTAATACCAATAATACATTGCAGTTTTTGATCCTAACAAATATGTAAGCTAGGTATTACTTTAAAACATTAATCAAAAAAGAAAACTATAATAATACACTTTATTGTTGCATGTCTGATTTAAATATACACATATAAATATTTTGTATCAATTAAAAATGCAAAACTATTATTGATGTGAAAGTTATGTGACATGGTCAAAGAAATATTATAATATTGAACTTTTTCTGAGATTATTACCATCAAACATTTCATTATTAATCTTAACTTTTTAACAGAAATATATTTTCATATCTTTGGTTATTTATTTACTGAATATTCCCATAAACTAAACTTTCTACATATAATAATCTCTTAAGAAATTTAAGTTCCATATTATAATTCAAGTACCTTATTCAAATTTTCAATAGTCTGAGGAACAATTACAAATGTATATTTAAATCAAACAAAAGGTATTGTTAAACATAACTTTATAAACTAAGTGCATTTACTCCAAATACATTATAATGTTTAATACTCTATATCTAAACTATGGTTTTGTATAGCTATATTTTGTATAAAATATAAGTTACACTTATTAATACTTTCGTTTTAAATATTATTATGATATTAAAACTTTATATGATCACAATAACACTTAAAAAAAAAGTATGAATAATTTCTGGATTTTATGGAATAGATATGCATTATTCAATGTCTGAAATATTGTGAAAAATATAATACAATAAGATTATGTAAAATCATAACTAACTTATAAAAAATCACATTATTTAATGTCAGAATATATTTATTTTCTTCTACATATACTTCAAAGTATTGTTTAAAGTTTTTGAAAATAGATTATACATAATTGTTCAGACCTATACAATATAAATTTTAAATTCTAGTTCACTAGAATTTGCATATTTTCATTATGTTTTAAATTTCCTTTTGAATATATAGGTAAATATAGCAATATATTATTTTTGTTTTTGTATAAATAAGTGAATTTATTTTATAGCTCACATTTCAATTTGTTTGTACAATTTGCTAATTGCAAAATATAAATTAATATAGTATTTAAAGAGAGAAATGTTTCAGTATTTAAGACACAACCTTCTTTCTAGATATTATATATAATTAATTTCCATAAGGTTGTAAAAGTTACAGAAATAGTCTTTAAGGATTTATATAATCTTTTTTTAAATTTAATCAGCCTATACACTTCTGAAGACTATTCTGTAGTCTTACAGGAATATAATATGCCCTTGAAAGGAACTATTTGTGATATTGCAATTAAAAATTTCAAGTGGCCTTAGTCATTTTCTGCATTATATTACACAATAAACAGTGTATAATGAATGCAAATTATTGATGCATTGTAAATTTTACTACAATAAAAAAAAATATAATAAATGTATAATAAGAAATCTTTTTTATAATTAACATGATTATAATAAAACAAAAAATTAAAAAAAAAATATACATTTTATATAAGAAACAGATATTGTATTGATGAAATATAAATTTTAAAGCACTGTATATAAAAAAAAAAATCTGTATAAGAAATGCATAAAAATATTAGCTTCACTTTCCTTGTAAGGGCATGTTTTCATGATTAGTAACTTATTGCACATAAAAATTAATTATATTAAAGGCTGTGCATATAGAAGTTTAGTTTATAAATTTCAGTTCTTATCCATAACTAAATATATTCAAATCCTTATCTGCAACTTAACATTTGTAAATTATTATATATATATATGTTATATACGTTGCACATAATGTAAGGTTCCAGAATACTATGTTGTGTTTATGTGTGTATGTGCGCGCGCGTGCACGTATATATGCACATATATATACACATATTTTTATTTGTAATATTATATATGTATGTATATATGTACACGTATAGGTGAATGTATATGTATTACACATAAACCTATTATCTGTGTATATAAATTTATCGAATGCTAGTAAAAAGGTTCAGCACAGACTTATTCTCTTTTTGACTACGTGCTTTGCTGAACACATTCCAAAATCGCAATGTTTCGTCCCCTGCACCAGTTACGATAGCTTCACCATCTGGTGACATTGCCAAATATAAAACTCTATAAGAATGTCCTGTTAATTTTGCAACTTGTGTTAAACTTGGATATTTCCAAACCAAAATTTGATTTTGGGAATAGCCATGTGTACTGACTAGTTCTGAGCTGTGCTTACTCCAAGCCAAATTACAAACTTGGGAACCAGTATCCACACACTGCATTGGTTGACCAGTTAACGTGTTCCAAAATCTGATACATCTATCCGCTGTACCACCGCCAGAAGCTAATAGACCATGATGATGAGGAGACCATGCAATAGCTTTAACAGCTGCCAGATGCTCTGTATATGTTTGTATAGGTGAAAGAGAATGTAAGTTCCACACATAAAGACGATTGTCATTTCCACCAGAGGCTAAATACTGATTGTCTGGAGACCATTTTAATCCACAAACTTCTTGCCTGTGAGCTCCTAAACGTCTTTCACTGACGACACAAGGAGTTCTAACATCTCTTTGCAATATTAACCTATCTCTGCTACCAGATGATAAAACTTCACCATTCCAAGCTAGTGCTCCAACTCTTGCACTATGTCCTTGTAGTTTGCTGACTTGTTTACTCACAGCTACATCCCATACTTGAATGTAGCCTAAATGAGTACCAACTGCAACTAAGTTTCCTCTTTCATTCCAAGCAACCGATGTTACACTATTACCATCACTGGACAAATCACAGAGTCTAGTCACTTGGCTGGTACATGCGGACCACAAGTAGACACAACTACCTAAGCCAACGCTAAGAACATTCTGTGAAGACCAGTCAACAAGATTTAAATAGAAATCATCTTGTAATTCTGGAGCATCCAGTACTTTGAACGGTATTCTTGATATCTTTCTTGTAGCTTTTCTTGGTGACCTCAAGAGTTTTTGACTTTTAGAACTTAATGGTGATAATGAATAAGGTGAACTCTGATCAAGTAACGTGTGATCTTTTGTGGGTGTAACGTATTTGAAGAGATTTTTGGTAACTAATGGTGATAATATTCTTCGCTCTTCGCACTGTCCTTTTACGTCCTCTATGCTGGCTCCGAGTAATTCATTTTTTAGAAGACAAGAGTAAGCAATTCCATCACGATTACTCTCTCCATTTTCCCGTGTCTTTTTCGTGACTATACCATTCCGACTATTTTCTGATATCATTGAAAATGTTGTCTGCCAATTATTGCCTGATCGTGTCGGTATAAATCGATCAAAACTATTATTCATCATTTTAGTTGACGAAAAATATGCCGATGAATGGAGTCCAGGACCTGCTAGACTATCTATATGGCTCTCACTGTTTGACTTCAACAGCCGTTTCTCATATTCGTGATGAAACATTTTTTTTTTTAATGGTACCCTTTTACATTCAGTCACATAATTATTCGCTATACAGTTTGTTTGTTCTTTAAATTACGTTGATTACACGTCCACTGTCATTTTCCTTGTGGTAAACCGAATTGATCGAATTAAGTAAACCACCTCTATTCAGTCGCCATTCAACGTCAACTTGGAAAATTTTTCGATATGGAAATAGAGAGCATAAATGTGATTCTCCTCCAATCGAAATGCTCTAAGTTCGAAGGGTTGCTTTCGAAAACAGATGGTCAAACCTCTATACAAATGAGTGTAGTTGAGTGAACACCCATCTAGCAACATGCTCATAAAGC